TGGAAGAAAAGGGTAATGCCAAATAAGGTTCCTGAAAGAGGAGCCCATCTTTGCATAGCAGGTCTTTGGTCACCATTGAGTTGTCTCCTTTAGGTGTCATAGCAGAGGAAAGCTTTTTAAGGAGGATATTCTTGATAATCCTCCTTGTATAAAAAGGAGAGTAGGAGACAACATGAAGATGGTCAAAAAGAAAATTGAAGTGATGGGTTTGTCCATGTAAGTAAGGGTTAGGACCACAGGTTTAGTGAAATGGAAAGGAAGCTGGTCTTAAGATCAATGTTATGAATTCCAGGGCAGAGTTAGAACTGTATTTGTCAGGACAGTATTTAATTGGTGGAGAAAATCAATGTCTGGGAGGAAAGACCAATATTAATCAACATCTGTTTAAAAGCAGTGTTTGTGCATTTTCTTTCAGTAGTGTTATAAATAATTGTGCTTATTTGATTGGTATGCTTATCAAGAAGCAAGTATCATTGATGTTAATGTGGATTTGCAGTCTTTTGCTGCCAGTCAGAACCAGCTTTTGAAAAGAAAAAAACTGAATGCAGAAATAAATTCAGCAAGCTATAAGATTCGTTTATTTTTGCATCCTAGAGAAGAATAATACCAGTTATAAATCAGTCAGTCAAAATGAATGACAGTACAAGAGCATAAGCTTATTTTAAAGAAAGGCTTTGCGATTTCTTTTAGTTCTGTGGGACTTCATTCCTTACCTTTTCAGTGAACACATCCTGCCTTCCTGTGTATAGTTCAAGTTGGACACTCGTATTTTCTTGTGCCACTAACGCTGTGGGATTTACAGAAGTCAGTCTTTGCAAGTAGAGAGCTACATCCTTGTTCCATCTGAAAGGGGGCTTCTGTCTATTTGTATGCAACTGCAAAGTGGGTTATTTTGTTCTGTTTCCCTTGTAGAGCTTCACTGTAGAGTACAGGTTCATATGTTATTAGCTCAGTGATGGTTTTTACATAAGCCCCTTCCACTCTTTACTGTACAAATTTACTAGAGTTTGGCTAGTCTGGTACAGCATTAACTAGGTTGAAGCTGTGCTTTGTGTTTAAATAGCTGGAAAATCACTTGATTTTTGCCTCTTGCCAAATGACATTTTTGCTCAAACTACTGAAATATGAAGCATTTCTTTCTTCATGGTGAGACTGTTTCCGTACTGTATGAATTCATGTAATGAGACATGAATTTAGATGATTTTTTTCTTTTTTTTTTTCTTTGGGAGGGTGGGGGGCATTGATTTTAGTGATTACGGTGTAAGGTAAATGTGTAAGGCCTTCATTTGATGTTGGTTTTCTGCCTTTTTGCCTGTGAGGAAGTTACTGTACTCTTACCTTCCTATATGGTATGTTAAGACAGAGAAGCAACTAGCTCCTGGGGGAAACAAGGCAGCAGCCACTGCCTTTCATCCCAGAGCTAAATACATAAAACTGCATGGAAGATAGTGCCAAAGGCAAAAGACTGTAAAGGAGCTGTTTTTCTTCAGTAATACTTAGTTCTGTCCTGCCTACAGTTCAGAGCTGGCATGGCTGTATGCTATTGCTGCAGGTTATTTTGAGGTGCATGGACATATCTTCCCTTTATTTGAAACTGATGCCTTCCGTAGGGTTTGGGGGGTGGTGGTGGGGTGTGTGTGTGTTTGTTTGTTTGTTTTTGGAAGACTTGGGGCATGTGAGATTTGTTGGAACTTGAAAACAAGGGGTATGTACTGTTGTAAAAAGTTTCACGTGGTCTGTAACTTCTCTTTTCCTGTCACCTTAGATGAAGGAAGGAATGCAATGGATTCAGGTTGCCTTATTTTTGTCAGACCTGATGCTCAGGACCCTCTTACCTTTAAAGAATGGTTTCCAAATGTGACATGACTTTATTCCCTAGGTATGACATGTAATCAAAGCATGTAGAAACAATAAAGATGAAGTTGCTTTTAAGGCTAAATTGTCTAGCTGTAAACAAAGTCTCGGGAAAGGACTAAATGTCTTTTGCTTTTCCAAAAGTGTTCCATCTCTAAAGCTGAAGGCAGAGGTGGACTGATGGGTCTTACCCTCAAAATTACCATCAAACAGTGTAACAAGAACAGTAATAGATTGGAATGAGCAGGATAACTCTGAAACAGAGAGTATTATTTACAGTTTTTACTCCTGGGGTCCTGCTATGTGGAACAAAGACCACAGAATCAATCCATAGCCAGAACTGCATCCCTTTCTCATCAATTTTTATTATAATATTACCTCAGAGTCTTGAGTATGTAGCAGAATCAATTGTTTTAAGTTTTCGTAGTACCTACCACAAAAGATGAACCCTGCAGCAGAGAACTGGCAGTCAAAGACAAACCAAAAACCCCAAACCACAAGGCCTGAGAGAGTACTGGGAAACAGTATTGTCACATGTCAATATTGGGTGCACTGCCAAGCTATTGTAAAGACTTGTATGTGTGCGTGCACATTTTGCGTAGGCATAATGGCAAAAATAGTTTTAAGGAATAATCTGAAAAAGAAAAATGAATGTGTCTCAGGGATTATCTCAGAGCTGCAGTCCTCATTGAAGGAGCAGTTTGAAAGATTGCAGATATACCAGTTTTAAAATCTGGTAATGGCTGTAACTGGCTAATAACTCTTGGGAGATCTGAAGCTCACGGTGGTGGCAGAGGAGATGATGGGTCACATGAGGACTGCAGGAAGGCCCTTGCAAGTGGAGGCAGGCAGTTTGTGTTCGATGTAGCAGAGAAGCTGCCTGCCAGTGGAGGTCGTCTCCTCACTAAAGGGGTGGGCTGTGACAGAGTTGCTGACTTTTTTTGTATGTGGGTCTTGCTGCTCTCACTATTACCTCATCCCTCTTATCTCAGCTTTTCCCTCTCCTACCTGCTACTACTGCTTCTCCCTTGACTCTGCCACCTGCTCCAGCAGTGCTGGTGAGAAGCCCAGCCAGGCCAGACTGTAGGAATTGATTGACGTGGTCTCTGATGCACTCTGGAGTTAATGCTCTTTCTTCTAAGTCATGTCTATCTCAGCAGCTGGGAATTGATGGGCTGGAAAGATTCATACGCATATGTAACATGCTATCAAAATAATAATAGTAAAGTATCTGTTTAAATGTTTGTAGAGCTGAATCTATGTGGACATTTGTTTATAGGATTGAATTTACACTGGTTATTTACCATGGACTTGATCCAGGGCTATCAAAGTTAGTGAAACTTGGACTGGATCCTGTGGGAGAAATGCCTGCAATCCTTATATTGTTTAATAAACAAACAGCTGAATAATCCTGTTGTATAAAATGGTAGAGGGTTGTTCTGGCACCGTTTATTTGATTATTTTATTTCATTAATTTGAGAAGATTCATCCATTAGCCAGTTGATTCACATTGTGTCTTCCTTAACTTCTTGGAAGGTCCCATGGTTTCTTATTCTAGGTGCTTTCCAGTTTTTTTTTAAGCGTGTATAATGCCTGTCTTGCTTGTAGCAAGACT